TAAAGTGATATCATACTCTGTCACTATCAGTTGGCTCCTTAGTTTTTCCATGATTTTCTCTAGATCGTTGAGTTGAGCTACTCAATGTCGTCTCCTTCTATGTCTGAGAGTTCCTTCCTCAACCGTAGCATATTATGAAATTCTCATATCAATATAGCCCCTCTCACCCAACACTCTGATAATCTTCCCATATTCGACTAATCATCATGCCAAAATGATGAATCCCTACCGCGACGAACCTTGACTTTGTGAAACGTTTTGCTAAATTTGTTAAATTTATTTTTCCTTACTATGTTTAAATTGCTCTCAAGTATGTGTGAATGTTTTTACTAGGAGATGATCTAAGATCAAAGGTTCTTCTCTGTATATAATCCTCTTACTAAACTCATCAATAGTCTCTTGTTCCGAGTTTTTTGTATGAAATTTGTTTTTCATTCACATATTCACATGTTATCATTCATATTAAAATATATTTTTGTTGGTATCTTCTTCAAGACACTGGCATATTAGTATTATGACACTTTCTCATGATCTAGTTTAATATTTTTGACGATACAAAAATTTTGCTAAGAGAAAAATCATTCTTTCCCGAAATGATCCATATACTAGAGAGCAAACAAACATCCACAAGGTAACAAGCCATCGAAAATCTTTTAGAAAACTGTTGTGGTGATTACGTGATTACATAATCAACTATTACGTAATATGATATTTTTTATATGCTTTTTAGTACTACAAGAAAAAAGGTATATCGTGACAAAAACTTTCGTCACAATAAATGATAATTTCGTAATAATATAAACATTACGACTAATTTGTGACGGTTTGCGAACAATGACAACAAAATCGTCACAAATCGAGTTTTAAGTTCTTATATTCCTTCCTTAGATCAAAAGAAATGAAGTTGTTGTAACGGCGTATTTGGGGCTAGATCTATTATGTATGTTAGTGCGATGAGAAAAATAAAAAGAGACAAAGTTTGTTAGTGAGGTTTGATTCACCAACTTACATCTCGGGAACTATGTTAAGAAACAAATCCGTTAAAACAAAAAATGACAACTACAATTGCGTATGGTATCTACCATTGCAGTGTCTACTATTCTTTTTCCGATGAACTTGCTAGCTAGCCAATTGAATCCAGATATAAACTCTTCGCAAATCTACATCACTCTATGGTCTAAGCACATACAATGTTCGTGCCTCTATTTATACATGTAGAGACAAGCACCCACTATCCAAATTGGAGATAAACTCAAATCTTTATTTTGTGATTATCCTCTCTTTATTTTTTTTCATGGAAATAATCTTGAATCATCGTGATACGAAGCTGATCCTCCACGTCTGTAACTTCCTCATGACTGTCAAACTGAACTAACATTATCAATTTTTCTAATACATAATGTGCCTTTCTGTATTTAAAACTCAGTCAAAATACACTTTCAGTTTTGATTATAATTCTTATCTCACTTGAATCGAATTCCATATTATCTGATCGGATTTTTGGTTAGGGTATGGTTCGTAAGTTTGATAAAACGTAGACGCTCCAATCTTATTACTTTTGAATTTACGTTAATTGCAGATTAATAGAGAATATGCAAGTGGTGTCGATCTAGAGACCAATTTGCCTATTTGTTATTATTAGTATATGGTGCATGTAACCTTATGCATCACCTATGTTTTTCCACTTACGCCATTGTAACTGCCATGTGTCAAATTTTAATTCATTATCGTCTAAAAGAATTTTATTTCTCCAATCCGATACGATTCGACCAAAACTTGCTCACGCTACAAACTTGTTCCCTCATTCGTTTTGCCTTTTCAGAAAGTTTGTAATCTGTAAAATATTATTTTCATTTTTTTTTATATCGAAATTACATTTTGTGAAACTTAGATCACTGAGATCGATCAATATAACGATAATTACAATATGATATTCGTTGGCTTTCAGAGAACCCAATACAAATTATATTCTTATGTGTTTCGTGGAGTCACCATCGAGATTAATGGTTGGATCCACTTGGACATATATGGTCTTGTGGGATGCAATACAAAGTGCAAGTTCCATACCCACAACTTTGTCTTTTCATATGCAACTTGCTCCATAATAAGAATATTTTAGAATGTATCTTCTTGGTCAAATTTAGAATATTTTAAATTTTATAACCGTTAAACAAATACTGCAGTGACCAATAAACACTTGAAACCTAGATCCCTATGACCCTATCAAGAAAAAAAAATCACTTTATTACAAACACCGTAATGATTCTTAGTTTATGAGAGTTGGTTTTAGAAAAATATGTATTAAAACTCAGTTATATACCCTATTTGATGGCGATTTCCTACACTGTTACTTTGATATTTTATTTTATAAATCTACTCCAAATTCTTAAACGTTTATAAATAATCAAACTTATGTTTCATGAATCTGCTGAATAGCTAAATTTTATATACGTCAAGTTTTATTTTACTATTTTCATGTAAAAGTTTTATATTGCAATTTTAATTAAAACTTGAATGAAAATTGTAATGTATAATATGACTTTTTCCAACTTTGTTTATGTAGAAAAAAAGGAAGAAGCAATTCTAGAAATGCAAATTCCTTGTGAAATCAGTGTAGAATCAATTTCCACTATAACACTTAAAACATTGTTGGAGAGAAATTATTATGCATGCAAACTATAATCCCTCTGGTTAGTACATATGCGGATTGCATAAGGTATTGTTATTGTTCTCTCTAGGTTAGGTCGGATACTATTGCAGTGTCATCTGCTTCTGTATGTTATGCTTTTTAATTCATACTATATAATTTGAGGGGCCAATAAAAAACTAAATAATTAAAACAGATAGATACGACTTATATTATATATAAGCTATAAGTTACAACAGAGCACCAAAATTAGACGACGAATATTTCCCATGCAATGTCACCACTAGCAATTGTTGGTGGATTAATTAGCTACTCAGAATTGTAGACAAATCATTTCGAACTAATATTGAAATTAGAAACTAATAAAAATATGTAGCGGTCCACGGTGATTAGACCGACCAAAAAGTAACGATATTTATCTCACTGCTATAAGAAAGTTTATGACATAAATTAAAAAGACCAAAATAGTAGAATTCTATAATTAGAGGAAAACAATATTTTCTATTTCCACACTACGTCGCCAGCCCATTTGTCCTTTGCCATAATAATAAATTATTTACATATCTTCATTTAAATATTTGTATGCAATGATATAAAAAAAAAAGAGTAACAAGTTCGACCCTCCTCGTTATTAAAAAAAAAAGAGAGTAAATCATAGCCATTTTCAGTGTTTAATTTTAAACTAGTAGAAAGAACAAAAAATTGATCGGTCTGGGTCTAAATAGTAACTGTGGAATCTTGCGGAATTGTGGAATTTTGCGAATGTTTTATGATTTTTTGCGGAATTCAGCAGAATAATGTTGAATTCAAATGGTAATTGTTGAATCTTGCGGAATATTGCAGAATTTTTAAGAGTAATTTTGGGAAATACCATTTTTGAACTGCCACTTTTCAAAAATAGTATATTTTCAAAATCTTTGCAAAAATGCCACTTTTTCAAAATTATTTATTAATTATATTAATGGGTCTAAATGGTAAAAACGAAATCTGACATGATTTTTGTTGATTTTTTGTGGAATATAGCAGAATAATTTTGAATCAAATAGTAACAACGAAATCTGGCAGAATGTAATGGAATTTTTGATAAATAAATTATTTAAAATTATGAAATTATTAATTAAAATTATGTTTGTCGAAATTAAATATTTATAATTATAAATGTATCAATGTTTTAAAAATAATAATTTTTTATTGGATTATATATCTCCTAACCCAACTTATTTCATTAATATTTTCGTTTTTTATGTTTGTTTAGCAAAATTTACAAGATTTTTTTTATTATTAATTACTAAAATTAATAAGAATTTTTTAGAGACATCATAATT